ATCGCTTTTTGTTCTTAATGACGTCTCAGGATATTTTGTGATTGATTGACATGTGGACTGACAAGTACCCTTCGATTGGGCGCCAGCCTCCCGTATCTCCCATCCCAACGCGACCTTTTTCCTTACAGTGAGGAAAGGACACGTGTATGTGAGTGGGACGTACGAGAAGCCGTTGCACAAATCGGCTGGCAGTATTACTTCCCTCCGGCCAACCGCTGTTCTGGGTTCGTAGAAGCCGGGTTTGTTATTATCGATACGCACTTCCCACCTTACTCGGTATTGTTGCCATTTAACGAGTTGATCGTCATTCTGTGGACGGCAGTAGAACCCTACTGGCCGCGCACTCTTTGCACTGAATGTCAGTATTTTGAGCGCTACGAGTTCAAGGGATTCCGCTATCGTGTGCGGAGTGAAAACGAGCATAAAGAAAGAGCCACGCGACTGAGACCATCCACGTCGGACTCGGAACTAACCAGCGAATGACTTCGAGATCTGATACGAAAACGGGACACGCGAAGCGTGCCCAAGCCTTTCTATTCTAAACGACGGGCTGTAGCCCGGTGAGAGGCACGACAATACTTTTGGATTGAATTTGAATTTTTCCCTCTCTTCCCGCCTCGCCCGCGCGCGCATTCCGCAACGCGCGAAAACGATCGACTTGCTCCATCGGACCAACACGGGGGATTTCAGTTTTGTCTGTGTCCCCACACTCAATTTTAAAAAATCCTTGGCACACCCCATCTTGCTGTTTTTCTGGGCCTCTTTTCCGCACAGCTAACACTCCGAACGGAAGACAGCATACGGCGTGAGGTTGGCGCGTCACAGCGCAGCTTTGTTGCCTCTATTGCGTTGCCTGGTGCTCCGCAGGGTTGTTGCCCGCTGCTGTGTTCCGTCTGGGGGATAGTCTGCCTTCAACATGGGTTAAAAGGTTCATGACCCAAACCATCCAATATGAAGACTCTGCAGATTGTCGAGGGTTCAGCCCCCTAATGAGTCGGTGCAGTTCTGACGAAACAATCTCTCATCATCGGTTTTTATTTTTTTTCGGTCTTTGAAACTTTTATAGACTTGTACGTTTTTTTCTGATTTGTCTGCCTTGTGTGCTTACCATCCTTCCCTTGTTCATTTTTTTGTTGCCTGGCGTGTATGCTGCTTTTATGTTGTTTGCCCGCCCTCCTTCCCCATGCCCTTCAGCCTATGTGTTGTCTTGCTGTTTGTGGCCTGTTTTGTTTTGTTGTCCCTTCCTTGCCTTTGGACTCGACTCCACTCAGATGTGTATTCTCCTCCTCAAGTGTTGTGACGGTATGGTGCATGGCTTTTACTATGCAGAGGTGTTCGCAATATGTGTGCACACGCATCATCACATACACACACACATATGCATACACACATACTAACCAGGATTGTTGAAGCTTTCACAGAAAAGAATGGTTGAGTGGGATGGTAAGCAGTAAAGAAAAGAGAAGCGGAAAACATTATGTTTAATGAACCATTGTTTGTATGCAGGTTTTAGAAGATGGGAGGGAATAAATGGTGGGTCCTGGCAATACGACTAACTCACTAGAGAAAAAAGCGGTCCGGTGGGAATTATGGGGTATGATAATGACACCTTTAGGTAAAACGGAGGTTAATTATTTCGGTGAAAGACAGTCCAACGAGGCCTGCGGTAGTAAAGAAAGCAAAAAGAGTACGTACAACAGACCTGGAGTTCCATTCAGGTATGGAGGGGGCGAGTATCTGGCCTTGCTTATAGGAAAAGGAGCAAACTCGAGTTTAGAGAGAAAGGAAGTCATGGAAACCTGTCGAACCACAGTGAAGCTCGGTAAAAAATCAGATTAAAAAATTGGGGCCTGAGAGGACGATGAAAGACCTAGAGGATACCTGGAGGAATGGAGACAATACCGGGGGGATGCCACAGTCTACCGTACCGAACATGTGCAAACGGACTATATCCGTGACTACGAGAATGGAATTGTCTATTCCACGATCCTCTTGCGGAGACGAACTCGTCTTCAAAGGAGACGAGTTGGTGTCCGAATACGCCATGTCTGCAGTAGCTGCTTCGCCCTTATCTGTTGCTGCAACAATTGTCGTTGAGGTGGCAGCACGTCCATTATTTGCCTAGGATCACGGTCTCCATTTTTGCGATGGTCTTAATATCCTGCTCGCTCATTCCCCTTGGTGTAACTGTCCAATACACATCGGTTATTGGACTTTCGATCTGTGCGAGGA